TCTGGCGCCACCACTGGCCTAAATGCCATTATTCATATAGGGGGGGGGGGGCTGCTCTACAATGTTTAAAGAATGTGTCAAATGATTGGAAAACCTTGCATTTTTGTGTAGGTTCGATCATCAAAATACAAACAGTCTGAGCTTGTTTCTCAATGGAAAACTTTTATCAAAATTAATATTCGTACAACAGTCCAAACATGTCCTGTAGCCTATGTTCACAATTAAGTTGGTTATTTCTCCTGAAGTCTCCTGGAAGGATGGCAATTGATTGGTTATTCGTCTGTTTACAATATCAACTTGAAGCTGCCGAGGCGGATAACACTCAGCGAATCATCCTACCTGGCAGGTATAAAAGTATTAAAAGTTTTTAATTATATTATTTTGAAAAATTCCAATAAGAGGTACATCTTTGATATGAAAAAAAAATGACAGATACAAAATAAAAATTGAATATACATTATATACTTAATTTTATTTATTTTATTTTGTATCTGTGACTTTTTTTTCATATTAGAAATGTTCTGAAACTTCAGTGGATAAATGTACAAGGTATAGAAATCAATTACTTATACTCATTTGGCTATTTCTTTTTCATAAGTAATAAAAGTTTTTAAAATAAAAGTTGAAAAGGTAGGTCACTATCTTAAGTAGGCCTACATCAGGGGCGGATTTAGGGAGGTGGGGCCCTTTTGGAAAGTAAAAAATACCGTAGTAAAAAAAGAACAAAGAAAGAAAAAATAAAAAAATGATCTCCAAAAACGCCTCAGAGTTTATTTTGGCCACCCCGGACCCCTAGAGTAGTGTTACGTGGATCGGCCCCACTTTCAGCCAGTACCCTTCCGCACCCCCCTTTCGCCCCTGTATATTATGACGAAATTAATGTCAGGCTCCGGAGGGAAAACATTTTTTGATATGTTGTATAACTGATTTTTCTAAGACAGAAAAAATTAGTTTGATCAAAAATTGAGCAACGGTGAATGAGATACATATTTTTGAATATTTAAAAAATGGGGGAAAAGGTGTAAAAATGGGCGGTTACGCCCCTTTTCCCCCAGTTTTTAAATATTAAAAAATTTGTATCTCGTTCACCATTCCCCAGTTTTTCGTCAAACAACTGTTCTGACTTAGAAAAATCAGTTGTACAACATATCAAATCTTGTTTTGCCTCCAGAGTCTACTTTAAAAGGAGCGTGCGTGAGAGGAATATGAAGTTAAGAAAACATCTAGAACTGTTAAGCAAGCATCCAGAATTATTTGTGTTGAGCAAGCTCATTAGAATATTTTATACAATGCCTTGTCTCTGTTTATCTGATCGTACTTATCCGCTTTTTAATAGGCTATTTGTAAAAAGTAGGACTAAGTTAAGAAGTGATTGCAGTATGTTATCCAACGTTAAAATAAAAACAAACTGATGAAAGTCATTCGTTCTACTGCAATAAGATTATACAATGTTTTAGTGTAATAGTTCACATTTTTAAACCAATTAATAGTGTATATTTATTTGTATATCTTTGTTGACAAAGTGAGTTTCCCCATTGTGGATTTGAATTGAATCGTTCCGATATTTATGATATACGTGTCGGTCCGGTCCGCTGGTAAAACACGATCTAAATTACGACGGCTGTATCGCATGCGCTGGATCGATCGAGAGAGAAGAATTGGCCTAGCCTAGGCCTAGGTCCTTAATCATGGCCTTGTTTATACCGAAAATACTGAGTTCCATCATAAGGTAATCCCTATTTAATGCATTATAGCATGATAAACATGCATAACTCTGTGTAATAATGTAATTGCAATTTTTAAACATTGGCTTGAATGCAGACAGTGAGATGGTAAGGCCTAGGCCTAGGCTAGGCCTCCCTCTAGGCCTAGTACCTAAGTCTTACTATTTTAAGTAGGCCTAGGCCCTAGTAGTAAAGATTCGTGAGTGTTCCTAGCGATTTTCCTTATATAGTACTGTAGAGTGTGGAATTGGCTTAACTAGGACTTTAGGCCTAGTACAGGAGGTCCTAGGCTAGGGACTAGGGAGGGGCCTAGGGGATACGTTTTGAATTGGTGTGGTAAAATTTCTGATTTTTTTTAAAAAATTAACTTTTAAGAAATATGTTTAAAATTACATTTTTATTTTTAGAGTGTCAAATTCTGTAGCATCTTCATCTGGCAGAAATTTTCATACTCAAGCAGGTGGCTTAGCATTCCATTTCACCCAAATTCTAAAGTAAGTAAAGTTTATAAATGTGTTGTCTTAATAATAAAATGATACTAGCCATGCAGAACTTCAAGCAATATACAATGTTTGTCTTGACTAAAGCCAGACACTCAATGCAGCATTGGTCGTTCAATGACAATCCGTTGAGACGACAACTGACAATCAGCAGACGAAGTCACATTGTCTAGTGCTCACTGGGAGCGGTGTTGGATTCATCGTGCGACCGTCGTTCGACGCTGTGAGTGTCCGGCTTTAGAATGCAAATAGAGGCCAACACAACTGCTGTTATGTATGTTAATACTGTAAAACCTTGAAATATGAAATATGAAATACGAAGAACTTTATTGCAATCTCTCATTAACATTATAAATCAAAATTGAAGTTTAACAAAAGTGGGGAAAACATTTTTAAAAATTCAAATGCAATATACATACTAATATAAAAAGAAGAGAGAATTAAATTAATTATTGTCAATTAAGGAAAATTTAGTTATTAATTCTATTGTAAAAATATATAATTCGCTAATTAATTTATATTTAACATATTTTGTTGTAAAACATTTCATTTACAATTAAGTTAAAAAGAAAAAAACTATTGCAACAGGAGAGAAAAAAAAATTAAAAAAACAATTCGGACCGAAAAAACCGTCAAGAACAATTTTAAAAATGACACATTTGAATAGAAACCCAGTGGGCTTAAACTTGAGAAGCCCATTTAAAAAAGAAACCCCCTCTTCAGTTTGCAAAAGTAAAAAGAAGCCCATCTCATTCTATTCTAAGTAAGATAATAATATGTGCTTCTTTCTACATAGTACCTACATTCATATTAATTAAATTTTGAATTCCATAATTGAAAAATGCTGTATACTGTCTGTAGTAGCAATGCCAAAATTTACAGTTTTCATTTTGAAAAGAAGCCACCCTCTTTAGTTTGCAAAAGTAATCTTGAAAAGAGGAAAATCTCGAAAAAATCTCGTCCAATGGTCGTAAAAAAGAACCATAGAGGTTTTACGTTACTCTAAGAAATATCGTACATAAACATTGAGGATTTCACAGTATAGAATACCTTATGTTGAAATAGAATTTTAAGGCAGTGGTTAATACAAAATTCCTAATTCTGATTGGATTTTTTTTTTTGTAACAGTGCGGAGCCTCCAAAGAAGAAGAAGAAAGCAGATCCGAAGCTGGAACAGATGAGGAAGCAGCGTATGATCAAACGACTAAGGAAGGTCCAATTCAAGATGGGGGCTGCTGAATTGAAACCTGTACAGGAGTTCAGTATAGACCGCAAATTGAAAGAAGAAACAAGGTAATATTAATAATAATGATTGTAACACAAACAGCAGTAAACATAATCAATACATGCATGTAAGAACTGCAATATTATTAATAATAATAGGTCGATTTATAAGATGCAAATAAATAATAATATTATAATAATAATAATAATAAAGTAATAAAAATAATTATTGTCGTCATTGTCTCCGCCACCGTCAGGGATTTATACCGTGCCTTTTATCAAGAGAAGAAGGAGCTCACGATGTTGTTATTATTACCCCTAGTCATTTGATCCTACTTTGGTAAACTGGCACAAAGTGCAATGGAGTATTCTGTGGGGTGTATCCCAGTTGTGCTTGCAATTTAAGGTACACTCAGACTAATCATTCAGTGCCACATCATCCTACTAGGTACCCATTTAAACTCCTGCGTGGAGAGACAAACGTAGGTAGTAAGTGCCTTGCACAAAGACACATTCACAGCAAAGGTTCGAACTTCTGACCTTAAGTTTGAGAGACCAAAACGCAACTGCTGCACCAACTGACCCCACAATATGGTTCATTATGACAATTGCATGCATTCTGACAATGCAATTCTATCCCCACATGTTGTTAGGCTATATATGCTGTAAATACCTACTAACAAAAATACCTCATTATCATAAACTCAATAATAAAAATAAATCAACTTACTTGTAGTTCATTCTGCGTAAAGTAACACCAACCATCTGATTATCATCAACTATAAAGTAAAAATGTCAATTTTTGTTGTTTTTTAATAATAAACCAGAATGAAATGAAAAAAAACCAAAAAAAACCTTGCTTCCCTCACTGTATATGAAGGAACATTGAAGTGTTTTCTCACTCCATTATGTAATGATTGTATGAAAATATATATATAAACTTTATATTATCATTATTTGCATTTATGTGGCTGCTTGTTGTTTTTATGGGTTTATCCCATTTGCCATTAAATTTATATATATATATATATATATATATATATATATATATATACTTTACTTTTTAGCTGTTGCATTTTTGTATCTCTACTGAGATCCAGCCACTACATTAAGCCATGTGCTTATTTGTTGTCGTTTTGTCCCTAAGTATTCCAGTGTTTGTGTGTTGTTTTGACTGCTAATGTCGATTGTCATGTCCATACTTGTGTTATACTTTGTTTTCCATGTTCTGTACTTGGAGAGATTTTTCTATTGATTTAGCTTTATTTTGTCGTGTCGGCAAAGATGGCATGATTTCTTTGTTTTATAGATATGCATGTGTAATATTTCCAAAGCTTTTCGTAAAATTGCTGTCAGTTGGGTATGCTGTCTCTTATACACATCTAGATGTGTATAAGAGACAGTATATATACTGTATATGTGTGTCATATATTTTATCAATATAAATTTCTTAACACATGTAAATTCTAATATTTGTCAAAATATTAAATGAAACACAATTGGCAACCATGATTTAATTTTGCCATGACTAATATTATTATTGTATGTTAGGGTATGGGATTTGTTTAGCAGGCATTAATTGATGCCAATAACAAGGATTGTATCCCAGTAGGAACATCAATTATCAGTACCTGTTTTAAATTGAAACATGTTTTATGATTTCAGGAAACGGGATTTACCAGAAATAACGTACGAGGAGAGTGAGAGACGAGCATTGCTTCAAAAAGAATGGTCAAAGTATAAATTCCAACTGCATTGTGACGAAATGAAGTACATCAAATCAATGTTGAAATCGCAACAGAAAGCACTTGAAGAACTGAAATATGAGTCTGTAGAGTTATATGAACTTGCCATGACAACAGATAAGAACCTGATGCCTTTGGTATTGTCCGGTCCAACTGAAACGCCACCTATCTTGGATTATTATCATCAGTGTCCTGATGGCCAGTATGTTGATATTTCAAAACAATACAAGTAATATCAGAAATTTATTTGATAAGATTACTGCCTTTTAACAGATTGTACTTGTAACATGCAAGTATGTAACAAGATTTTCTACTGCCTTGCAACAGATGTACTATCTTGCAACAGATATTTTACTGCCTTGCAACAGATGTACTCCCTTGCAACAAATGTTTTACTGGTACTGGGTATTTATATTGCGCATTTCCCTTATGGTTATGTCTTGTAACAGTACTTTACAACAGCTGTTGTACTGTCTTGCAATAGATGTTGTACTGTCTAGCAACGAGTGTTTTCCTGCCTTGCAACAGATGCTCTAATACTTTGCAATAGATGTACTGACTTTGCAACTGTGGTGCAACGTATGTTGTACTGTCTAGCAAAATATGTTGAACTATCTTGTAATCAACAAATGTTGTACTATCTTGCAACAGATGTAATGTCCTGTAGTACATTACTTTGGATCTTAAAGCCCCAGTTGATTCGTTATTGTAATGAGTGATATGTACTCTTGTTATATAATAACATGAATGAATAAAGAATGTTTACGTTGTATATTGTTGAAATGTTTCATTTTGTAGTAATTTAATTTTTATGACAATTAGTAAGTAGAAACTTCAGGGAATTTTCCAAGTTATACAGAAAATGTCACAACGTTTCACTTTCGTGAAACATCCATTCAAGCTGTTTGAATAATCTCAGCATAGTATGTGTGTGAGTTTTCATGGTTTCAGTAATTATGTGTTTTTGTTTCCTACATTAAGCCATGTGCTTATTTGTTGTCGTTTTGTCCCTAAGTATTCCAGTGTTTGTGTGTTGTTTTGACTGCTAATGTCGATTGTCATGTCCATACTTGTGTTATACTTTGTTTTCCATGTTCTGTACTTGGAGAGATTTTTCTATTGATTTAGCTTTATTTTGTCGTGTCGGCAAAGATGGCATGATTTCTTTGTTTTATAGATATGCATGTGTAATATTTCCAATGCTTTTCGTAAAATTGCTGTCAGTTGGGTATGTGTGTGTGTGTGTGTGTCATTTTCCCATGTTTTGACGGTTGTCATAGTCGATTCAGCTTACAGGTATGTTACAAAAGCTTACGAAAACAAGTAAACATCAAGATAGTACACTTGATGAACCCACTAGCTAGAATCTGTTAGTAATTAATCCATAAAATAATGCATCATGATTTTTTGTTTTATTTTATTAAGGGAGTGTAATACTACTGTACTTTCGTTTTGTCTTATCTCTCTAATTTAAAGTTCTTTGGCAAAGTAACGAAAATGTGTTAATTACAAATTGCATCTTGTTTGATGTAGGTGGGTCTAAATTATATCAACATGTATATTGTGTGTTATTTTTATATTTCTTAACTTTGATTCAAGTTACAACTCGTAGTTGTTAGTTTTATATTTACTTAAGGTATGGATTTTTAGTTTCGTGTTCTGTTGTTTTCATAACATAATCAAGTCTCAGTATAATAGTGTTTCGTTTACAGTCAGTACCTGAGCGGCGGACTACGTTGTTGAAAGTAATTGTATGTACCAACTGGAGTTTTCTGATGTGGCAAAATAAATCGAAAATTAGTCAAAAAACTGAAGCCATATTACTGTATAATTTGCGTTGATTTTAATGTGAAAGCGGTACTATCAACACGATTCTTTGAAACCCTGGTCAGTGAAATAGAATTGAAGATAGGTCACATCGTTTAACACCTTGATGAAGCGAGTCTTTGTTGTACTATTGTTTGGTACAGCTTCTATCAATCACACCTTTTCGTCGGTAAACAAGGATGGAATACAGTACTCTTTACTTCAACACACTACCTGTTATTATTGTCCTAGCCTCAGTTTTCATAATTATCGTGACGTTATTAACATGTGCCAAAAAAGGTAGGGTGTTACATGTTTTCAAAGAATTAACCAAAGTTTAAATATCAATTTCAAATTGAGTCGGGCGTAAGAATATTTAAAAAAAAAAAGCCTAATATCTTATTTTTTTTATCCTAAGAAACTCCCGATGTGCAGCTAAGTCTTTCTAGCGCAGTTGCTGAAGAGAACGCTTCCAAGGTTACTATTGGGTGTATTCTGAAGCCTGCAGATTTGAAGTTCACGTATATCAGGTGGTATAGAACTGGAGATGACCAAAAACCAATTGGAGACGTACTCGCAGAAATCCACTATTCAAAATGCAACACACGGCCTAGTGAGGATAATAATGGTTAGTTTTGTGTGTCTAAATCTCGAAGCATTCCCCCCCCCCCCGAAATCATAATTTAGTGAGAATGCAAAACAACTCTTACTTTCTTTTTCGCTTTTTGACGGTATAGAACGTGTATTTAATAGTTCACCTATCGCAATATCTCATGTAGCTCACTCAGTAGCAGTATGCTTTCTTAGAACTTCTTATTTTAAACTACTTTTATCGATTGCTTTATGTCCAAATGTAATGTATTTACTTAATTAAATATGAGTTTTTTTCATTTAACAGAAAATAATAGCAAGCGAGAAATAAGGTAATATACATTTAATTATTACAATTGGTCTTAGAATTTTTTTTTACAGCATTAAGCCTAATTGTAAAAGTTTTAGCTAACAGCCACTCATGTAGTTGTAAAATTGTACCGAATAATAGTAAACACCGGGCTTAAAACTTATAAAGTGTCATAATAGAATGGCCCTTTCGTTTAAACTCCCCTCCTTGTATATTGTTGCTATGTCCCATGAAACAACAGCGTAAAAGTACATATCCTGGGTAAAATCATTTGTAATCTGAAAACGTTTGAATAGATAAATCTTGTAGAATTATTTACGACCCCTTTACATAATATCGCGGGCTAAAAGGTTTGGTTGCATTGCACAAACTACATAAACCATAGATAAATGTGTATACATAGTTCAATGTGGATTAAGTTTTGTTTAGACCAGTGCGTGCATTCGCAGGTAGGAGAGAGTGCCGAATACGTTATCACTGTTTCATCAATATTCTAATTTATGTAAATTATTGTCAATCTGATTATTTCACAATAAGGATGATTTTTATCTGAAATAAATAATCATCATGGAAACGGGGGTGGGGAGGGGCAAAACAGTTTTAGAATAGGTGAGTAGCACGTAATATTGATTTGCATTGTATTTTTAAAAATTAGGTGACAAAACGGGTGGAGGTGCACATGCCTACCCCCTCCCCCCGTGCACACCTATTGGACCCGCCCCTAAAGAGAGACTGAAAATATAGTTATGTATACGGTTGATGGTGATGTGCAATAAAGAATAACAATAAACTGCTAGTCTATAGCTGAATATCATTTGGCTTTTATACTCTCTTGCAACATAGACCCCAACACGATAATGTCTCACTCTTTTTCTCTCGCATTATGAATTATGGAAGTGTGGTTTTACAGTTGAGTAACTTTTATTTGTAATTTGGCGACACAGATAGCTGTGATGGAAAGTTTGGTTTAAAAATAATTATACAAAGTATTCCTATCCAAATGTTTTCAGTTTTACATTAAGAATGACTTTACCGGAAATATGAAACTTTAAAAGGGTATTGAGACTTTAGGGACACCTTGTGCGAACACATCTACGTTTGTGGGACTGCGCGTATGCTGTGACAAGTAAGTATGTCTTGCCTTATTCTGATTGGTCAACTGTTAAGGCTGTGACAAGTAAGTATGTCTTGCCTTATTCTGATTGGTCAACTGTTAAGTTTGATTGGCACTCCGGAAAGTCCATTTCTGACTTGATATTTAATAATACTTGATAGAAATAAAGCCTAGTACAGATTGTAAAAACTAGTTATGACTTGGCCAATATCCTATTTGTAGGCTCTGTCCTATGTTAAGTTTTATACTTCTATATTCTCTTATAATTTATATTATATTATTGAATATTGAATCCCAACGTTTACCTACATGTTTACAGCAAAATTAGTTTTAATGATCCCCATGCTTTCATAATTTATTATTATTATTATTATTATTATTATTATTATTATTATTATTATTATTATTATTATTATTATTATTGTTATTGTTATTATTATTATTGTTGTTGTTATTATTATTATTATTATTATTATTATTATTATTATTATTATTATTATTATTATTGTTAATGTTACTGTATTGTTTTACTGTTGTTGCTGCTGTTGTGATGCGATTGCTGTTGAATATGCCGTGGTGTATGTTGTTGGTGTTCTTGTTTTTGTTTTCATACAATATTATCGTAGGCCTATTTGTTCAATTGTAGACAGGATCCAGATGTAAGTACGGTATGTTATGTAAATGAGAAAAACACAATACAGAGGACGGACGTTGAGGGTGCCTATGCGAACATTAGCCCCTGTGAAAGTAGTAAGAGACTCGTGTATAATATCGTTATCATCATCATCTTAATTATCAACATCTTCATTATCAATATCTTCATCATCATCGGCATCGTCAACAGGGGTGGATCCTGAGATGTCCGAAAGGGGGGTTAAAAGTGGGACCGATCGAGATATAACTACCCCGGGGGTCCGGGGGCATGCTAGACGCCCGAAATTAACCTATGAGGAGCTTTGGGCGATCATTTTTTTTCTTCTTTGTTTTTTGTTTTTTCGCTTTCCAAAAGGGGTGGGGGCTCTAAATCCGCCCCATCAACATCATCATTATAATCATCATCACAAATTGTCAACAATTTTATAATTTTCATTATTATTATTATTATTATTATTATTATTATTATTATTATTATTATTATTATTATTATTATTATTGAACATCCATTTAAATAAATACATTAGTTGTAAGTCACCCATAACAATACTATGCCATTCGTTATGTTTATCCTTAGATGAATCCCTGGCTGTTATATGTGACGACGATTCGAAGTAAGTTTATTTAATACCTTTCTAACTTTTATTTCTTTACATTAAGTCTCACTAATAGTAAGACTTTTTTGTTTACAACCTCTATTGGTGGATGATGATGATCGACGTCACTATCTCTTATACACATCTCGATGTGTATAAGAGACAGCCCTTAAGTAAATTAATTAATAATTATCTTTTGCATGTCCAACGGCGATTCTATTCGAGACACAGATTCACAATCTCATTTGTTTTTTTTTTTAAATCTCAATCGCATCGTAATTTTTATTTTTTTTAAATTTACTTTGAGAACATACGCCTTTGGAACGGCGGCACACACAAAAGTGGTACGTTCAGCCTAAATTACAAAAATAAGTATATAAGTTTATCGTGATATCCTAAATAATGCTTTTAATATGTACTTCTTTTTTTAAATGCAATTAAATATTCTGTTGAATCTTTCTTTTTTAATAATTATTTAGCAAAGTGCCCCTGGTTACTCACGTGAAATAAGTCAGACTGTAAAAAAAGGTGGGTTGTTATTATAACAAATAATACCTCCATGTTATAACGTTATAACAATGGTTTATTTATCCATATTATGATTCAAAGAGAGTGGGTACATTAGTTACCGTGTCACCTATACGTTTGCTTATTCAGGGGCGGATCTGGGTTCAAATTTAGGAGGTAGTCAAGATGTTCCTAACATTTTAGATGGGGAAATGAGCTTTCCCGACTTCTGAAGTGTCTTTTAATGACGTTTTAAAGTGTTTAAAATTCAAGGTTTTATCCCCTCTTGAAAACTGTCAGGTGAAGTTTTCTCATTCTCATTACTGTAAATCTATAGGCCTACGTGTGTATGTCGCATAAAGAATTAAGTAGTTGCATACGTATTATTTTTTCTATGATTCCATGAACCCCAAAGAGAATCTGAGTCTGAATGAGGACCCCACTGGAGTACATGCGTCATTGTGCGTCATCGATTGCTGGAGTTATTAATTATGAAAGATTTATTTATAAAAGTATATAATTATGCCTATCTGACTAGTAAATAATTTTGAGATTGCCAAAAAGGCATATAATTTGGTTGGTTCTTCGAGAGGGGGATCCAACAACCGATGTCGAGGCAGCATGGCTTTCGCTAGTGCGTATACATAGATACACACTGGCAAATTTGATGTAACAGCCGTTTCTGCTTCGGCCTAGTTCCTCAGGTCTAGTTCCTCCTCAGGTCTACTGCCATTAAACTGCGACAGAAAACGACGCTGCCCCGAGTCAGGAAGTGCCAACCTCTTTCCTCCCTACTTCTGGTTGGGAAATGAGGTTTTCCGATTTCTGAGGTGTCTTTTAATGGCATTTAAGTCATTAAAAGTTTAGGTTTCTCCCCTAATGACCTAATGAATCGATGAATCCCAAAGAGAAGGGGTCCGGGAAAATGTTGATTCCTAGATGACGCGGGAAATGAGATTTCTTGGCTTCTGAAGTGTCTTAATGACTTTTAAGTTTTTAAAAATTCAAGGTTTTCCCCTCTTAAAAAAGGTCAGCTAAATTTTTCTCATTTTTATGATAGTAAATAGGCCTATTATGTGTGTATACATTTAAAAAAAAACCTTTGAGTAGTTGTATACGTATTCTTTTTTCCATAAATCGATGAACCCCAAAAAGAAAGGGGTCGGGGGTCCTCCCCCGGGATAATTTTTTATTCATAGATAATGGGAAATGAGCTTTCCCGACTTCTAATAATCATCCCATAACAACAAATTTCAGCTCACAGGTGCTGAAAAGATAGGTCTAAATTTTTTTATGGCCCGGCGATCGGGTGGGAGGGGGGTGGGAGGAGTCAGGATCCCCCTCCCGATCCGCCAATGACTTATTTGTTTCATACTTAGGGAAATATCGAGCCTCCATGAACGGAGGGTATGGCGGACTAACAATTACTGATGTCACGTTGGAAGACGCTGGTAACTATACGTGCTACGTCACCTTGACTGGTCTGGTGAAGGCAAAGGTTTCTACCGAGTTGTCAGTAGTACGTAAGTATTGAGTATCAATGATATATATAAAAATAAATAAATAAAAAACCTTGTAGTAGGGGTGTGTGGTGCAGCGTGTAAGGTGTTGGACTTCTGATTGTGAGTTCGAGACCGACGCTCGTCGCATTGCTTGTGTCCTTGGGCAAGGCTCTTCATTTACATTTGCCTCTCTCCACCCAGGAGTATAAATGGGTACCTTGTAGAATGTTATGGCATTGAATATATGGGTCATGCGCGTTCAAGCAGCAATGACCAGGGATACTCCCCGAGGACCAGCGAAAGTTGCACAATGTGCATATCTGCCAATTCAGTATCTAGTAACCGGGGAATTAATGATGCCAGCGCCTTGTATTATCGCTCGTAAAACTCAATATTGTGAAAGGCGCTATATAAATTATGGTTCTATAAAAATAAAATAAATAAATAAAAAAATAAATAAATAAACAAGGGGAAGTTAAAGCATATTTCGCTGAGTGGAGCTTTTGTAATGGTGGTAATTACGCTCGTCTTCTGTAATAAAAAAAAATAAAAACGTTTTTCTCTAGACTAAACAAGCTCCATGTCAATGCTATACTGTAAGTGCTGAGATACTCACTGTTGAATGAGAATAAAAACGAAAATGAAAAAAAAAACAGAGTGTTTTTTAATGTTTAAAATAACATTTGAATCGATCATTTCAGAGAGCGTTGTAGTGTCAATGGAAGATGTGGACGCTATCGAAAGTCAAAGTAGAAACGTAAATATCTTGTGCAATTACACACCAAAACAAGAAATAATCGACAACATAAACTGGTACAAGATTACGTTGCAAGGTACCAAACTATTCCTTGCCTCCAGTAACGAGCCGCGTCGTAGTGACAGATTCGAGGCATCACAGGCGGCTGGGGTAGGACGGCTAAAAATTATGGATCCCGTTTCTGGGGATGAGGGCTGCTACCAGTGCGAAGTGATCAGAAAAAATAAATGTGCTGCATTTTATGCACACAGCGTTCTTACTCTACCAGGTAGCGTTATTCATGGCTTTTAGATTAATTGAATATGTTGGCCACATCTCTTCAATATTGATGTAACATGAGGCCTGACATAAAAAAAAAAACCACTGTGATCATGTGTGACCTCTTTATAAGTATTCCTATAAAGTAAATTAAAGTATTCCTATACTTTGAAAATATTCTTACCTTTTCTTTACTATTATATTATTATTTCATTAATACTGTAAACAAAAATTACAATAGGCTTCATTATTATCGTTGTTGTTGTTATTATTATTATTATTATATTATTATTATTATTATTATTATTATTATAGTTATTATAATTGTTGTTGTTCTTGTCACTGTGTATGTTCTCGTGTATTTTTTTTTATTTGTGTTTTGTGTATTTTACTGAACTGAATGAAGCAAAATTATATCAGAATGTTTTATATTTTGTTAAAGTGCGAGTGTTTCCCTACCACCGCGAATCCTCAAGCATCAGTACTTCGTACAGGTTTGTTAAATATTATTATTTTTTTTTTATTATCATCAAATATTTGTTTGCTTGAATATTCTGCTTTTCTGAGATGTTGTTAAGTGCTGTAATTATACACTTTCCTGACTAGCCGGTTCCTTATCCATAGGCGACCTGCGATAGTATCGTTTGTACAGGCGAATCATTATCACTTACTTGCATTCTGTGAGAAGCGACGTAGAACGGCAACCAGCGAAACGAGAAGTATAGTTATGTTAAGGGCTGTAGTGCGATCACGTACGATAGAGTGGGACAAACAGCAAACAGTTGTGTACTCTAAAGAAATCGATGCTATACCTCCGCAACGAAGCCCAAGCAATCTAAGAGGAAGTTACAAACCAAATCCAAATACAGCTTGGTATGAATTTCATCGGATATACAAATTGCATCATCATCATCATCAGTACATCATCATTCATCATTATCATCAGCATCATCATCATCATTGTGTCATCATATCCACGACTACCACCATCTCAATCAATTCGATTCTTCTTTTATTTTATAATCATGTTCTTCAGCATATTTATTTAATGACTGTTACATTGAAGATTTTTATTTATTATAAAGTGAATATTAACTATTCGCACTCGACATTTACCTGAATAACTATCTACTAAACAATTTATTATAATTTTGAAATTATAATGTTTTTTTTAATTATTATGTAGGCCTGAGAACCCTGTCCCTGTTGTTGTCAATCAAAAACGAGGACACATCGTTGTACTGTTTAATACGTTCACATCATCGCTGAGGGCGCATCAACGATCCTCAGATTGGAAGCTATACTCCGCCCACAGTAAAGATGGCGGCAAGACTTGGCCAATACTTAATCAACATTTCCCTTGGAGCAACAACAAAACAAGAAAGGACAATGCTCATTTGTTACGACCACCTCGCCATTTTGAACTGAGTAAGTTTGTATTATTACCATAGTAACTACCAATTTGATGTTATAAATCTATATATTAATATCATTTCATCGATCGACAAAATCGAGGTGGCAGAAAAAAAGAAAAGAAAGAAGGCAGGAGTGAGAGACTGTAAACTAACAATTATTTATTTCTCATGATCATAATAAAATCAAATACAAAGACTTTTGTATAAACATCTAAGTTATAAATGATTGTGTTAATAGAACAGAAGTCATCAAGGTTGAAAATGAAAGGTTTCCACGGAAACTATAAAGCAAGTAAAAAATAGAACAGAAATTCAATTATACAAATAATATTCAGATTAATGTGCGGTAAGTAGTAAAACGGAAAGCAGGATATTCTGTATACATAGGCCTATATCTGTAAATTATTATTATTATTTTTTTTACTTCGCTTTAAAGAATCAAATATTACCAAGTACATAATTTGTATTTACGTAGACCTGAGCAAATTGTTTGAATCTGTTACAAATAAATCTTTTAGAATTTTCATAATTTTCTTATATGGTAAAGGCTATGAGAACCAAACTCAATCGGCACTTAATTTATTTCCTCCATACATTTTTTTTAGAATTTACCTCTTACTTCGAATACAAAGTATCCAATTATATTGAGATTTTTTAACAGTACAGTAATAAAATACCAAGAATGATGTGAAANNGAATCAATCTCCATATGCTGCGAAAGAAAAATCTGGCGAGCAATTCGGGTGGTAATCGAACCCACGACCTCCAGCTAACTAGCCCGCCGTATTACCCACTCGACCACCAAGCTTGCGCATTAGTCACATTATACAGTTGTCTCAATGAAATGTGGTGGCAAAATTAAATGATACCGTACAGAACAATACAAAAGGAGAGAAACCAAAGTCCAATTTTACAGCAAAAGACGGGATTATAACTACCCTTTGTTAGACACTCTTCCAGGCATTTGGTTTCCCGATGTGTTTACTAAAGTTTTACCGACTCATTAACTCCTTGAAATATTATTTCTTCAGTTTACCTAGTAGTTTTGATTGTGGTGATTGCTCTGCCTATTTGTTTCTTTATTTTAGTGGTTTTTTTTTTCTGTACAAATTTCAAAAAGTTTTCCCCCCATATTTTATTTTTTTTAACTTTAAAATATTATTAATTAAAAATTTTCTGTGTGTCCTGTGTATTATGATATTGGAGATTCGTTCATAATAAACACTAGGCCTATGCTTGATTTTACTTCAGGCCCCGGTCATGGAATCAAACTTTCCTCTGGAACACTACTTGTAAACGGGTTTACATCCACATCGACGACCGTGTCGGATGACAAGAAATCGAAGCGGCACGACCAAAGTATGCTCCTCGTACCTTATCTTGTTTTGTGAAGGAATATTCTATTTTTCTATTTTTTTTTAAATTTATGTATCGGTTTCTAATGTAATATTCATTATAAGGGGCTTTTATTTTACTGGCAATAACTTGCTTCAAGCTGAGGTGTGGTGGGGGTGATTCCAGTGAAGTATCTTTCGGATTTTAACACTACAGGTGTCTTAGTACAAGTGATACTGACTGGGGGTAAGGACGGGATGGAGTGGAATCCTGTCGGTAAATCCAGACACGAGTCATCTTCTGATACCCTGCCATCTTGCGTGAATGCTTCTGAAGGTATTGATGAAGAATTGAATGCTTCTCTGCCATACGAAAACGTCCATCTCAAGGGTGCAAGCAGACACGCTAAATATTTTGCATCACCTGGTTGCCAGGTAGGCCCTAAAGTTGATATTGTGGATACATTATTGTTATTATTATTATTATTATTTTAGGCCTATTGTTGTAACCCGAACAGGCCCGTATCCAGGGGGGTTTATGGTTCGGGAGAACCCCCCTTTTCTAGCAAACCCCCCTCTTTTCTGGCGAATCCCCTCTTTAAATTTCCCAAATAAGTCCTCCAACCCCAACTAATGCACATTTTCAAACATATCTGCTTTTATAGCATTATTTAAACCCATAAAGCACAAACATCCTCTTGCTTTGGGGGTTTCGCCGACCCCACCGGGGCTTCGACTGTGGACCTCAAGCCCAGAAACCCCCCCCCCCCCTTGAAAGAACCTGGTTACGGGCCTGTAGAATTTATGGTTCTATTAACTAGTAGTACAGTATTATAGTTGTTGCTATTTGTTATTGGCATATCTGATTTATAATTATTATTGTTGTTATTTTTATTGGTAATATTAATGATATTCATCTGATTTCTATTTTGATCAAAATCAAATAAAACAAAAAGAAAATGCCTTGATGTTTCGTTAAATCACAAACAAAGCTAACAACATTATGATATTGGCATTTTTATGTTATATTAATGCTTGCGGTACACCACGTAGATTGTTCTGAAAACAACTGTGTTGGTTGGGAATATTTTTATTTTTATCGACATCGTCGTCGTCGTATTGTTATTATTATTAGTTCCTATGCATGTAATGCAATAGGAGCTATTGTAAACACTCTTCACTGTTTTTTCGTTTTTTTTTTATTGTGTGTAGTATGTGTGTGCGTGTGTGTGTGTGTAGTATGTGTGTGTGCGTGTGTGTGTGTGTAGACATTTATGCAAATGCGCATGCGTCAAAGAAAAGTTTTCCGACATTTTGTTTTACCTCGCGATGGGAAGATCGATGTGAAGTTTCTGCAGAGTTCAGTCAGGGCTCACGCTAACCGATCGGCAAGTCGGCATGGATGAAACTATTTTGGTTTTATGGCAAAAAAAAAACTGCTGTGGCATAGGTATTTTGAAGAAGGCCTAAAATATAACAAAAAGGTTTTAATACTTGCTGAAATACATCGTTTTTTTCATTTAGATCTCCATTTTTCACTAAATGCAGAGTTATGTATGTGTACCATCCAAGATGGCCGTATATATGTACACGCGCGTCTATATATGTACACGCGTGCGTGTAGATATATATACACGCACGTGAATACGTGTATATATATACGTGAATACGTGTATATATATACATGTATTATATGTATTATATATATACATCTATACATATATATATATGCGTGTATATATATATATATATATACATATATATATACACGTTACGTAAAAACTTGTAATTCTTTTTATAATAAATATCGTATAATTACACCAGCTGCTCTTCCACATTTGACTTGACTGTAAATAATTAACATCCTGTGTATAAGACCTTGAATTCACTGCAATGTCTGTCTCTTATACACATCTAGATGTGTATATGTATCATGCATAGGAACGTTGACGCCTGCAAGGCTCTGGTTGTTATTAAATATGACTATACCATTCTCATCATTATTAATATTAAGCCTGTTATTGTAACCAGAATTTAGTTCAACTATAGTAGTGTTATTATTATTATTAATATTATTATAATTATTATTATTATTATTATTATTATTATTATTGTTATTATTTTTGTTATTATTATACTATTATTATTATTGTTGTTGTTGTTATTGTTGTTATGGTAATATTAATGATATTAATTTGGTTCCTATTACGATACCAATCAAATAAAATAAGTACCATTATTATTACAATTAATATTATTATTATTATTGTTATTTTTATTGTTATTATTTTTGTTATTATTATTAATATTATTATTATTATTATTATTATTATTATTATTGTTGTTGTTGTTGTTATGGTAATATTACTACTCTTAATTTGGTTCTAATCAAATAAAAAAAATACCATTATTATTACAATTATGTTTATGTTTTTTTTTAGGCTGGCCTGGTCAGTTTCAAAGCATATATAGGAGAAGACAGCAAACATAGCCCAACTTGGGTGCTGTGCTCAAAGCAAATTAAACCCTCAGATAAAAAATTTAGCGTTCGTCTGTCGAAAGACGGCTGCAACACATGGTCCAAAGAGAGCCTAGTGTTAAAAGATGGTCAAGTTGGTAACTCCGATCTGGCTTACTTTGAACGCTGCGATCCTGCATCGAAAAAAACTATTAGGATGTGTGGATGTCTTTATGAGAGTGTATCGAAGAAAGATGGAACCGAGCGCCTGACCCTTGTTTTTAATACTTTTAAACTTAGCTCACTTCTGCAAGATGAAGAAATGTGAATGATGTCCACTATAGACCACCGGCAGGGTATTTTAAATGTCGCTGGTTCGATTTCCGCTGTGTTCCATATCATCTTTTTTTTTGTTATTAGACCAACTATAGTGAAAATAGGCATACGTAAATGATCTAATATGACCGCCTCTCTCAAAAGCATCTCTTATTTTATTCACATTCGCTGCAAAGCCTCCAAAATATAAACGCTTTAAACGTAAAGTTAGAATAACCCATAACTTGCAGCGTCATAATATGTGCTTAATTGCGTATGGACGTGGTCCGTGACTACCTAGCAGCCGTAAAAGAGGCGCTTCATGTTCACATCATTCCACGCGCTTTGGTGCTTATTAAGTAATTTACGTTTCATATTGAGTAATGTACCCTGAATAGTATTAACTTGTTGTAGGTTGCTAGGCTTAACGAATGTGGTCAGTTCATTTGTATAAGCATGGTGTGTAATTAAACTGTGATAGACTTTTCTGCTAAGCCCCGCTCCTTGGATATTGTTGCTAAGGTCCCAAAAAATGACAGTGTAAAATCATAAGCAAACACATACGTTTGTGGGACAACACGTGTGTACTTGCTAAAGCACGCGCGTATTCATTTCCCTGTTCTGATTGGTCATTTGTTTAGGTTGATTGACACTCCGGAAAGGTCCACTGGTTCATAAAGAAAAGAAGTTATTGTTACACTTTTTTTTTTTATAAGAACACATTTTATAACACTGAGGCTGAAATTGCTTTAAAATTTTAGAACAAAATAAGAACAAATTGAGGCTAAGAGACAGGTGTATACCTACTTGTCATTTGGGGCCATTTTTACCGGTGCCTTTTTTCTGGGGATTTTTTTTCAATAGCCTTTTTTTTCGGGGCCAGTTTTTCCTGGGCCACTTTTACCTACAGTGTACACTGGTACAATAATAAGTTTGTATGTTTGAAAAGTGTGTAACATAAGAACAAAATAAGAACATTTTGAGCCTGAAATTGGCCAAAAAAATAAGAACACTGAGCCTGGGCAAATTAGTAATAAAATGTCCTACGTTCAAACGTTCACATACTATAGTTATTCACTTATATATTCAAGAGATATGTTATTTTATATTTGAAAATACTAGGCAGTAAATTCACTGCAATGTTACTTTTTTCAATAAGGTATAATATAAAAATACATGAAGATTGCAATTGCACGTACCGGTAATTACCACTTAAAACAAGCCGACATTGGAACAAATAATGGAAAATTGTTTATGATGTACAATAAAAAACATTGTTAAATAAAGAATATGTTTCTTTGAGGAAATTATAATTATGTATCATAAGTGGGGTAGAATTCGATTCCTCGTTCACAAAATACATAGGCTAACAAACAAAGTAAAGTTAGGCTACAATAGTAGTTTTTGTTCACAAAACACATAGGCTATCAAACACGTCATTAAAGGGACATCACAATACATTTATTGCATATTTATTATAGCCTGATAATAATAATTACGATATTTGGTTGCGTAAATATGGAAAGTTTCAGTAATAAACAATATCCCCACCTTGTGCATTGTAGCTCTGAGTCGCGTCTCAAACGAGAGATACAGGCCATATTTTGTATTGCGCTCATTTTTCCTACATCTTGAAATCCGCGTTCTTAATCTTTTTTATAGCTTCGCATTCTCGCCAGAGTGCGTTCTAGCAACATTGCGTTCATGTTTAAGGCTACAGTTCCTTACTCACAAAATACTGGATAGGCTATCAGACACATTAAATTTAGGCTGCAGTTTCTCGCTCACAAAATACCAATGAAAATACAGACTATCAAACATGTTAAAATTACGCCGGACACTCACTGAGTCGTACGACGGTTGTACGACCGTCGCACGACGAATCCACATTTGCTTCCGGTGAGCGGTAGACGACGCAACGCCGTCTGCTGATTGTCAGTGGCAATCTGAACGGATCCTCATTAAAAAGACGATCCGTTGGGTCCGCGTCTTTGCGTGCGTTCTTCGTCGCGTCGCCGTCGCACGCAGTGAGTAACCGGCTTTAGGCTACAGTTTGTCGCTCACAAAACAATAATTTATTATGAACTTCACTTTTCCATCAGTGGCACACTTCTCAATAGAATAATATAGACATCCAACAAGTTAGGTTACAGTAATCCCTTGTTCACAAAATACATGAATATGCTATCAACAAGCTAAAATTAGGCTGCAGTACCGTAGTTCTGTGTTCACAAAATATAGATAGGCTATCGATCGATCAAGTTGGCTACCGTAGGTTCAATCAATACTGTAATAGCATTGAATTTTCTTAAATGGGTAATTTGTATACTTTTTTATACAGTATATATTTTTTTCATTTTCATTAATAATTGTGATCAAGAGTAGGCAAGGGCATATTTAATGAAATTAAATATTGGATGTGTTTGTGGAAATCACAGACCTTACTTTCTATTTAACTATTATTTTTAAGCCGGATTCGCGGTATCGAACGACATCTCTAAACTCCCCACAAACCACTTCCACATAGGGCCTACGCTCTTGCTAGTCAGCAGTTGCGTATCAAGGGAAGGGCGGATGTGGGAGGGCGCACGCCCCCCCCCCAAAATCACGGTCAAGTAGTTAAAAACCACCATATTTTGCGAATTTGCGCAC